AAAAGTAATACTATTACTAAATTTAAAATAATTAATTATAACATAATAAACTAGATAAATAAAATTAATATACTAAATAAAATTAATTAAAACAAAATATACTAAATTAAAATAAATATATGTAGGAGAGTCGGATAACCAGCGAGCTGCTTACAACTGAACATGGAAGCATCTCCGAGATATCTATAGAGGGTAACCAACGCAACTGCTCCCCAAATATATCTTGATAACCCTTCCAAGTCTATAAATAATGATAGGTATCGTGCCTCGACAAGCGTAAACATCTTGTCCGCAAAAATAGTGGAACCCACTAACATCAACAGATAAGCTTTAGTCGCATAATCCCATCTAGAAGTAGCTCTATGCTCTATAAATCGATCATATAACCACTCCAACTTATAATAAGAACCCCTGCAGTCACGGACTTGTTCTTGTGCCACTCTCTGTAACACTCCTAAGTAATCAACAACCCACTCAATAGCAAGTCCTTCATTGATATCTTGAGGGCTCCAGAAGACTCCCCTGACGGGTAAGTGAAGCAGGCAAGAGACGTCATCCAGAGTAATCGTCATTTCACCAAATGACATGTGAAATGAAGATGTCTCTAGATGTCATCTCTCTGCAAATGCGGAGACCAGGTTCGTGTCTATCTTTGTCAAACTGGTTGTCTGGAGTGAAGCTAGACCATACCTAGATATCCAAACCTCCATCTCTCTTGGTAGCTGTAGTGGAACCCTCTGAATCAACTTCAACTCATGTCCTGCTACCTTTAACTCTTTCTTCAAACCTCTCTCCTGAAAACAATTAAAAGTAAATATATTATAAAATTCAACATTAAAAATTCGAATTTTATTCAATATTAAATAATTTTCATTTACTTACCTCACCGAACCATATATGTCTAGCAATATGATGTTCGTACTTAACTAAAAGCGAGGTATCGTACGAGCCTCCTGAATATCCAACAGGCTCGGTTGCTGATGTAGATCCATCAATATGCTCTTCTTCAGTCATTCTCGATGATTCTCCCCGTCCTAGTCCGCGAAAAGGGATCCTACTGTCTCTGCCTAGTGTGCGCACCACTGCCAAAATAAAAACATAAAAAAAAATTAAAAATTCAAATATATATATATATATATATATATATATATATATATATATATATATATATATATATATATATATATATATATATATATATATATATATATATATATATATATATATATATATATATATATATATATATATATATATATATATATATATATATATATATATATATATATATATATATATATATATATATATATATATATATATATATATATATATATATATATATATATATATATATATATATATATATATATATATATATATATATATATATACACACGAACCGGAAGACTTGCAAAAAGACTTCCGGCGAATTTAAAAAACTCATAATACCGGAAGACATACTTAAAGTCTTCCGGTAAACAAACGAAAAAAAACAAAAACTGGAAGTCTTCATCAATGACTTCCGGAAAGCTTACAACACCGGATGACTTACTCTAAGAGTTTCAGTATATGTTTTATGAACCGAAAGACTTCTGAAATGTGTTTCGGTTTACACTTTGTGTACCGGAAGACTTATGCTAAGTGTTCCGATTTGTAGATGAAAATTTGTAGTTCCGGAAGTCTTCAAATGCAAATGAAATGGGAAAATAAAATTTCTAAAATTATAACTATTTATACAAGGATATTTTGGTCCAAAAATTTTTAGTGTAGCGATATGGGATAAAATTTTCATCATTTGATCCAGGAAAAATTTAGTGTTTATATATGCATTGGATTTACAAATGAAATAATACATGAGCCAAAAAGGCTAAGCCCAATATATTTAATTAAGATTTTGAAAAATTAATTTGAAAAAATAGAATTAAAAATAAAACGAAAAAAATAAAGATAATTAAAAATAAAAATAATACGAAAAAATATATAAAACTTAAAAAAATTAAAATTAAAAATAAATAAAATTAAAATTAAATAAAATACTTGGATTTGGTAGGGGGAATCACAAAAAAGAATCTTATAGGAGTGAAATCAAAACTCGCTATATTGACCGGGGTGACATATATTTAATCCAAATAGGTTTAATCCTCCTATTTAGGCTTTTTCCTCATTACCCCCAAATTATTCTCTAAATCTCCTCTTTGCCTCTTATTTCTCTACTAACTCATATTTTCTCCAATTTTGTTATTTTTAATAATAATAATAATAATAATAATAATAATAATAATAATAATAATAATAATAATAATAATAATAATAATAATAATAATATGAGATCAACTTGTGAATTCATCTGTTTGGAATTCCTTCCAGAATACGAGGAAGTATAGCACAAATCAAGTTTATAAGTGGTTTAGAGGAGACATGATTAAAGTGGATTGAAGAAAGCTCTTGGAAATATGGCTAGACTGCGGGCTAGGTTTATTTTGTGGCTGAACTGTCATGAATGATTATCAACAAAGGATAGATTGAACGAATTTGACACCATTAATTATGGGATTTGTGTTTACGGTGGCTTGCAAGAGAGTTGCAGCCATTTGTTCTTTGAGTGTATTGTCACAAAGAACATTTGAAAACAAGTGTTGCAGTGGCTGGAAATTAGACTCAAGAAAGATAGTGAGTCAGTAGAGCAGTGAAAAAGAAGGGGCATTGTACCAAATTGTTGAAGATAGGCATAGTAAAAACCATTTACAATATTTGGACGAATCAAAACAAGATTGTGTTTCAAGAAAACACCCAAGAGACTTTATGTAGTAAAAGTCTAAAAGATATAATTGACATGGTCTTAGTGCGTGTCGAAACGGATAAGAAGTTAGTTATGCTTTGTAATAGAAGATAGGTTGTTGTGTCATTCTTATTGTTTGTAGTCGTTTTGTCTTTTTGAGCCTGAATCTTCGGATCGGCTTGGGTGTATTCTATTTTTTTTTATAATAAAATTCTTCTTTATTCCAATAATAATAATAATAATAATAATTATTATTATTATTATTATTAAAATTGTGATTATTTCTAATTATTATTCTATTTTCTCACCACACCCTCCTAATTCCATTACACCCCATTAACACATAAGATCATATTATTTATTTAAATACACATCAACATCAAATAATTAAATAAAATAAATCCAAACAATTCAATTAAATAATTTAATCAAATTTGGGGTGTTTCACCTACCATTAAAAATGTAATTCCACATACACATAATTACCTTGTCATAAAACAACTCTTCACCCAATGTCCTATTCAATTATTAAAAAAACCATCACTGACTTGTTATAAAAGAAGATGAAGAAAAAAATGAAGATAAAAACATTGCCTTGTTATTGAAAAAGAAAAAGAAAAAAGTTAACATTGAGAAACATATAGGGTGCATTAAATATGTGTGTGTTGAGAGTTGTTTACAAATTTCATTGAGATCTATCATCGGCTACCACAACAACAGAGAAGAAACAACTCTCAAAACAACCTTGACTCTGAGTGTAAAACGTCATACTTAAACCAGTTTATAAACCCTAATTAAAGGTTTCAAAGGAAGGCTCGGATTCACTTTTTCTCAAAAATTAGGCAGAAAACCCTAAAAAAGTTTGATTTCTTTATTTATGTAATTTGGGGCGCCAAACTGTGAATGAAAAGGAAAAGAGAGAGAAGATAAAGGAAGATGAAGATGGTAGAGAAAGAGGATTAGCGAAAAGAGAGAAGAAAGAGAAGAGAAAAGTGAATTACATTTGTCATTGAGGAAGAGAAAAAGAAAAAGTTGAATAGGTCAAGTTAGTTTGGAACCAAATAGAAGATGTGACATCATCAAATGGACAAACTATGACTTAACTGTATAAACATGTAGTTGAAATAGAACAAATTGACATCATAGATTGAAAAAGTAATGTTTGGACACAAATTTTTTATAAAAAAAATATTTATACAATCATTTGATGAGGTGGCAGAATAAAAGAGTAAGATATTAGAGGATTTTCTCAAATATTAAAAGATTTTTCCAAACATTATTTTTATTCTGCTATCTCATTAAATAATTGTATAATTATATTTAAATATTGATTTCTTTTTCTTTTTCTATCTCATTGATTTTTTTATAATTATTTAATATAATTAAATTTACATGTTCATTCTACAACTAAATAATTCATTTTAATTTTACATATACATCTAAATACATTTATACTATATCAAATAAATTGATACTATATTTTACTATTTGAATGAGTAAAATATTAAATTTAAGTGGATAGGCAGTGATTTTGACCAGCAAATGAGGTTGAAGCACCTACCCTCTTTTTTTTAATTTGTTGATTAGTTAATTACTCATTTAGTCATATAGTAGAGTAATTATTTTGAATAAGAAAGGGCATACTTGGAAGAGCATGAGTATATATTTATCTGTATTTCTCTTTATATAAATAGGGTGCGTAAATGAAGAGCATATGTATCCATTTGTATCAGTTGCCCAGAAAGACACGAACTCTTCTTTCGAGTTGTTTCGTCTATCTTCTTCTCTATCCATCCCTTACAAAGGTAACTCTATTCTTTTAACTCTTTTAATCAAATTTCATAATTCTCTTTAACTCTCTTTTGAATAACCCATTTTTCTTTGTCGGATCTATGATTTCTTAACTTTTCATCAATGGATTTTTATTTTTATTTTTATGAATGCTACTTATGATTTTAGTTTTTTTAGGGTTACATGAATCCACTATTTCTAACATTCCTCTTAACTTGTTTGAGTAATTATAATTATTTTAATGAAACGAAACTTCTAAGTAAACTGAGGACTGTGAAGTACTGGTACAGGTTTTAGGGAAAGTACCGGTACCGGATAAGTACCTAATACTCGTATACTCGTATGCGTACGGTATGTGTATGGTACGTACCCGAACCAGTGCAACAGAGACCGAGGACTAATCATGTTATTTTGGTGTAGTAAAAGTATGACTTCCGAGGGCGTCGGGGAAGATTGCCTTGCATGGGCAGCAAGAGATGCATCTGGAGTTTTGTCACCTTACAAATTCAATCGCAGGTATATATGCTATGCATCTCCAGATTTTTATTTTTGTAAATACATTTTGACAATATGATCAGAGCCGTCTTGAGTTTTGAGGCCCTGCGTTGGTTAGCTATGCTTTCAGAGACAAAATAAATAGAGACCTTATTTACCCATATCTTGCACGTTTTCAAAGAATATTAATGATTGGTATTGACAATATGATATTGATGATTGCCAAGGGCTCTTGGGAGTGAAGACGTTCATGTTAAAATTACACACTGTGGTGTTTGTTATGCCGATGTAATTTGGACAAGGAATAAACATGGGGATTCAAAGTATCCTGTTGTGCCTGGGTGAGTATTGGACTTTTCCTGTTGTTTGTATCAGTGAGAATGCTATACGCATAAGCTAATTTATCTGATTTTTTTTTCTATTTTCTTATCAGACATGAGATTGCTGGGGTTGTGGCAAAGGTTGGTCCAAATGTCCAACATTTCAAGGTTGGTGACCATGTTGGAGTGGGGACTTACGTCAACTCGTGCAGGGAGTGCGAGTATTGTAACGATAGACTAGAAGTTCACTGTGTCAAGGGATCGGTTTTCACATTTAATGGTGTTGATTTTGATGGTACTGTTACAAAAGGAGGATACTCCACTTCCATCGTAGTACATGAAAGGTAAACTTAACGGACGGCTTGTTTCTTGTTATGTCAACTGAGGATGTTGTAGCATCGGTTCGTTATTTGATATCATATATGGTCTTGCATATGCAGGTATTGCTTCTTGATACCTAAAAGCTACCCTTTAGCTTCAGCAGGTCCTTTGCTTTGTGCCGGCATCACAGTTTATTCTCCCATGATGCGTCATAAGATGAATCAACCTGGTAAGTCTCTTGGAGTGATTGGTCTTGGTGGCCTCGGTCATATGGCAGTAAAATTTGGGAAGGCATTTGGTTTGCGTGTGACAGTTTTCAGCACTAGTGCATCCAAGAAAGAGGAGGCGCTGAACCGACTTGGTGCGGACAATTTTGTTCTTTCATCTAATCAAGAAGAGATGAAAGTAATTATTGCATAAACCATCTATGCCAGTATCTTTTCTTCAAACCATGAAAATAATATTAATACTGATGACTTGTGCTTCTACTTTTTTGTGCAGGCATTGGCTAAATCATTGGATTTTATTGTTGACACGGCATCAGGTGATCATCCGTTTGATCCTTACATGTCACTCTTGAAGGTATCTGGTGTTCTGGTCTTGGTTGGGTTTCCAAGTGAGGTCAAATTCAGCCCTGCGAGCCTTAACTTAGGTATATAAGTTCTGCTGGAATGGTAAATTTTCTTTCATGTAACCCTTTGATTATAGCGCTGGAACCGTAAAAACTTTCATTTGTTTGACAGGATCAAAAACTGTTTCCGGAAGTGTTACAGGTGGTACTAAGGAAATACAGGAGATGATTGACTTCTGTGCTGCAAACGGGGTTCACCCAGATATAGAACTGATTCCAATCGGGTACTCAAACGAAGCTCTTGAAAGAGTCATAAATAAGGACGTGCAATATCGGTTTGTGATAGACATTGAAAACTCTCTTAAGTTGAATTAGAGAAGTATGAAGTTGAGTCTGAAACTAGACAGAGAAGGACTGCCTTATTTGATATTACATACCAGAAGCAAAGAGAGATGTTAAGTGTTCCATAATGATGGCCAGATGATTCAAATTTCATATATCAATGCAAACAAAGCTCTTGAGAAGGTCATAAATAGGGAAATAAAGTATCCGTATGTAGCACTTAGTCTTTTTATTGTTAGAAAAAAATTATGAGTTCGGCTTCGACTTTCGAGAATAAACTAAGGCAGGCTTCAGATTCAACAGCTCAAAGAGCCTTTATAGAAATATTTAAGCTATAGTAATCTAGTAGACATTGAGAACTCAATAAAATAAGCATGTTAGCATAAAATAGGGCTCTTTGAGCTGTTGTGCAGTTTCTCTCTTTAGTAAAGCTTCTGTTGCATACAATGGAATACAACAAGCATTGAGGCTCTGCTACAGCTACGCAGGCTTACGTCGTGGCGGTTGCTGAGTCTCAATGATGCATTGTGATGTTGGTCTAAGGGCATAGATAACGCACCTCGAAATTAAAGTACCACCAATTGATACATAGTTATCCACTTCCACTTTTTTTAACCCAGATCTCTGAAACAAATATTTGGGTGTATGTGCACTTGCCGAGGGGATAAGCAACTTGTCCAACAACTTTGGTTTTCTTATATGGACCATAAATCCGAGGACTGAGTTTGTCATTGATCTTTCTTGCCAAAGACTTCAACCTGCATGGTTGCAACTTCAAGTAAACCAAATCACCAACCATAAAAAGATATATATATCACAACGATGTTTATTGGCTTGTTGCTGCATTTGATTCTGAGTCTTTAGCAGATTGACTTGGACTTCCTTTAAAATGGTGTTACGTCTCTCTATTAGTCTAGTAAGTTCAGAATGAGAAGATGGAACAGAATTCTCCTCACTCAAGCCATTTGGACCAGTCTCGATTTAGATGGAATTTGGAGAACTAATTCTCCAAAATTTGCACGAATTTCACCTAACTGAGCCAACAAATCCATTCCTAGAATTATATCAACTCTTCCCACATCAAGGACATAAAATTTTTGTTGTATGGAAAGGCCCTGCATATGAAAACAGACAGCCTCACAAAGTCATTCACAAGGAATCTTTCGACCATCCCCTACTTCCACTATGCATGCACGCGTTATCACAACTGGAAAACCTATTTCTTCCACCAAAAAGGTTGAAATAAAATTGCGAGAGGCTCCACAATCAATCGGCACAATGAATTTCTAACCTTTTATCTCTCCCTACACAACTTGCTCGTTTTCTTGAAAGTAAAACCTGAAATGGTGAACATTGAAAGGTGCAGATTCTGGAACTCATTGGCTACTATTTCAACATTATTAGTATCACCAGAGTCAATCTCCTCTTCGATTAACAACACATGAAGTTGTTTATTAGCACAAACATATCCTGGTACAAATTGTTCATCACAAAAAAAAAAAAACATAGGCCTTTGATAAGTTTATCCTGCAATTCAATATCAGAGAGCTTTTTAAAAGTCCTTCTCTTATTGTTATAAGGTTGTTTTGTAGTTGTTTCTTGGAAATTATTAATTGGAAGAGTTTTGGGGTGGGTTGTTTTGGTCGGGGGTTCCCAAGAAATGATGTAATTTGATGGAAAGGATTTTGTGGAATTTTGTGGCTAATGGCCCCTCTCTCCAAGTTTGGATAATATTTTATTCTGCTCATCAATGCATTGGGAAAAGCCCATCATCTCCAACAAAGAATCAACAAGATGCAATTCTAATTCAGCCTTAATAACATCTTTCAAACCATTTAGAAAAATACCTTTCAAATATTCAGGCTTGGCATATAATTCGAATTCAGCTCGGAATCCTTCAACAGTACCGGTTTGTTTGAGATTCATCAAGAGTTCGTAGGTGCTACTCATCATCGTTGGATGAAATTGCTTCATAAGCATTGCCTTAAAGTCCGACCAAGTAGGATTTGGAAAAGCAAATTCCCACCACTGATGCCATGAAAGTTCCTTTCTTTCCATGGTAACCATGGTAACCATCACAATTTTATATATAAATTTATTTTGAAAATGCAATTCTGAAATCTACTAAATGCATTTTATGAAATAGAGGTGTCTTGCAATTGTATCCCGTAGTAGGCTTCCTATGTATTCTTTCATTTACAGTCACAAATTACGAAGGATTATAGCGTGTTTGTATATCCTTGAAATCATTGAGAAAAAGTCACCAATTGTGACAAAAATTCAAGAGTAAGAAACATCAAATTCGACTTGGGGATTTGGTTGTCATGGTCCATTGACAATTCTAATGATAAATCATTAAAACTCCCATAAAAAAAATAAACAGAAATTTGAGACTGAAATTGTGTTCCATCAAATACAAACTCGAAATTGACACTATTGTTAACAAATAAAAATTCAAGTGAATTTAATTTTGAAATTTTTTAATTTAAAAATTGAGATTGTTGTGATGCAATAAATAAGTTTCTTAAGGTTGATCAAGTTTCCTATCTTTCGTATGTTTTAGAAATATATATCTGGAGTCTTTTGAAATGTATTTTTAAAATAAATTTATTTATAGAATTGAAGTATGACTAAAAAATAAATAAATTGTGTTTGTATAGTGTGTCGACAGATGCATTTCCAAAATAAATAAAAAAACAATTTTAAATATTCGTAAGGTTTCCACCTCTTAAAATGACATTAAAAATTCCCTTTTAATATTCAATTCTCATCAAAAAACACTCCAATACATTGTTAATTTTTTTTTTAAAATCGTAGTATCTAAAATTCGACTTTGTGACGTGACCAATCCTACTAAAGGGCCATTTAGGTCAATTTAAAATTACTTTTCAAATAAAAATGGCAATTTCATGTTTCATTAGAATGAACAACCCCTATTATTTATCATGATATAATTTCTTAATATTGAAAATTTGTGCTTAAATTGATCTTATCATCTAAAAATATGAATATGACTCGTAAATTTGTTGAACAGATGAGTTATATAAGTCGTAGAAAATAATATATATATGCAGGGTCACATAAGCTATCTGTATTATGATATTCAAATAACACAGCTCTAAACAAAAGCATGTTCATTTCATATAGAGAAATATTAGGCTTAATAAAATACATGACAATGACAACATAGAAGTTCTGGTTATTTGACCAGAAAAATGAAGTTTCATTAATCAATGATGAAATACAACTCAAGTTTCAAAGTTTCCACAATACCCCCAAAGAAGTAAAAGACTACAAAAACCTTGCTGGTATTCTAACCTACTTTAGGCATGGTGATAATGGTGCAACTTATACAACAACACTCTGCCTGAAGCGTTTCCTACCGCCATAAAACCACCACCTGGACTAAAATCAACACAACGAGGATAATGCAGACTCGTATTTGACCGCGGCCAGTTAGAGAAAACAGTATAGGATGGTATATGTATTAACTTCAAACTGCTCTTCCTCAATGTTGAACAGATTGCTAGTATTTGAGAGTCGTGATTATATTTCATGAAATTCACTGCAGAATTCAAATTATCAATGGTCTTGATAGGCTTTCTTTTACCGCCGAGAAACTCTTCACTGTTGTAAATGTTCACAATTCCACTGTCTGAACCTGCTGCAAAATGAGTCCCTACCGGAGAAGTACAAAGGGCTGTGCCGGTTAAACAGCCTTCATCTACACCTTTGTGTATACAAGTCCTTGTTCGCAGATCCCAATGGTAAATGTGGCCATCGCCACCAGTACTCAACAATTTTTGCCCATCTTCGGAAAATGCTAATGCTCGAACTGTTCCGTTCATCTTCAGAGTACCAATTAATTGCTTTGATTTTGCGGAAACCAGTAAAATATAACCTTCATTACCCACAAAGGCTACCGTTTTAGAATCAGGAGAGACCTCGAAAACTTCCAAACTCTTCTCGTCCCTACCCAACAGTGGACCAATTTTATCAACTCTGGCCTTAACTAAATCAAGACTGTAAAAGAAGTTTCTTCTTCCTGATATTATCACCTGAGACCCATCAGGCAAGAAAGACGCTTTTCGAATGGGGCAGTCTTCAAGGAAGATGCTTTGAATTTTGGTGTTCCGTTTGCCATCAATTTGAAAAAACCTAAGCTTCCGGTCTAATCCAGCAGCGAGAAGCAGCTGACCATTTCGATGGAACTGAACTGAATTTATGGGACCATTAGAAGGATCTTGTATATTTGCATCTACAAGTTTCGAGTATTCAATGTGTCCCGGCAACAATTTGGAGCTGCTCTTCACAACCAGGTCTTCATTTGTCCTGAGAATATCATCCACATCCACATCCACATAACCTCGGCTCACAACAGCTTTATTTTCATCATCTGTCAACTCATCATCAGAAGATTCATCCATTTTTGACCCTGAATCAAGCTGCGCCCAGTCAGTTCCTCGGTTGAGCTTCACATGTTGAGCCCTCAATCTTGACACATACTCTGAACCAGATATCAAATTCTCATCCTCCTCCTTCCTTAGCTTCCTTAATCTGTTGACTTTAGCTATGTTTACAGTGACTTTTTCTTCTTCTTCATCCACCCACAACGGCTTTCTATCATCATTATCACAACTTCCATCCGAGAAGTCGGCATCTTCTTGGTAACTAGTGAGGACGCTATCTGCAGAACGATCAGTGAAGAACAAATCAGATGCCGTAGCTGCAATCCCAACATCCACATCATCAATCTCCCCCTTTCCAAATTCAAGAGGGGAATAGAGAGACCCGAACAAAAAGTTCTCCAGTTTTTTCATTTCTTTAACTTGTTCCGTCGCCAACTGTTCTTCCTTTTCATCCCGCTTCCTCTTTTTCACTTCCAAGGCATCGACATCATCCTCTTTCCCATCTTCAATCTCTTTTTCTTTAATATCTTCCTCCTTTTTGGTCTCGTTTTTAGATTGAGCATTTTGAGATATTAAACTCATATTTTCAAACAAACCTGAAAAATAAATAGACCCATAACTCGG